GTATTAGCCTCTGGTCGGCAGCTTAGTAAACTGACAACCCCTATCAGTGCAGGATGACCTGGGTGTGTTCCATCAGGAAAAACTGGTGTGAAGACCAGATCCTGCCTTTATATGCAAGATAAATTTAAGTTTTCATTGGGCACTGGAGATTGTTCTTCCAAATGTTCATCCAAATCCTGTTAATCTTAGAGAGCACGGTAGTTCGTCTGTCTCCTATAGAACAGGCAATCTAGAGAGGTGAGTTTCTTATTCTTCTATTGGCAGACGGGTTGAGGAGGCCATCGTGTGGGCTTGTAAGTTATCAATGAACAGTTACGGGAGACATTATTGCTATCTCCATTAAGGGAATACCAGCCTTACAGCCTTATTGGCATGGTAGAGAATTGCAAAGCAACTACATAGTTGTCTGCCTAAACATTAATGGGGTAGACATTGGCAAATACATACTCCCTTCCCTTCACCATAATAGAGCCCATTCTTGGAGCTCTGCTTTCAGAAGTGACCAAGAATGGCACATGGATTTAGTATGAGATTCTTTTCAGGCACAGTCCCACCCTAGTAAGATCTTGTTCTTCAGGTCATCTGCCCAAGTATTTGCTGGAAGGATCTTGTTTCATGTCAAATAATGAGCCTTCTGCGTTCCGATTTTAAGATACACAAGCTATAGAGAGTCACAATGTGTGCTGTGAGCTGTTTGTTGAATAATAAAGTGTTCTGTTTATACTACCTTTTGGCTGAAGTCAGTTCATGCAGTTGACAAGCAGGACTTAATCTCTATGGGGTAGCTGCTGCTTCTGTTTTTTTAAGCCAGAGAAAATGAAGTTAAGCCTTTCATTCCAGGTCCATCTTTAGTGATTGGAAGGGCATCTTACAGAAAATGCAAGTGTTAATTTACACTAGAAAATGTCATGAGGTCTCAGGGCAGCGTTTTTGTTGGCACTGGCACCTTTCCTGGGTTTTGGTCTGACCCTCTCAGTCACAGTGGATTGAAAAGCTATTGTGGGATGGCTAAAGGTACCAGTTCATTGTCTTTTGGGCATTTTTATGTTTCGGGTACGCTTCTTGATATGTAGAGCAGCTGCGTAAGCATAGTTAAAAAAATATTAAACATCTCTACATTCCCTTTGAGAAACTGCAGCCTTTCATGACATTAGAAGAAAATCAAAACAGAACTGCAGTTAAAACTATAAAATAGGATTCTCATGTGTTTTAGCTGTCTCAAACTTGTTTTAAAAATAGCCCATACTTAGAAATCAAATGTTTAATTGTACCTTTATGATATTACTTAGCTGCATAAAAGTAGCCAAAATGGAGCTGTTAATACGATGAGCATTTTTTCATGGTTTAAATACTGATTTTGGTTATTTTTTTTACTGTTCTGTTCCTATTGCTGTTTATATACTGAATATGAAGATACATTAGGACATGTATGTTCTTTTGTATACATGAAAGAAATCCATATTCTGCTTTCAGAATAAACCATGCTTATTAAGTTAGCAACTTAATTTAGTTCACATGCCTATGTGTTTGCTTTATAAAATGTTTCTTTATAATATTTTGCAGAATGGAAAAAGAATATGTGCCTTGGGGCAATGGGACAGTAGGAATAAAACCTGTGGAAAAAGAAAAGAAATTAATGTTACTTTATACAAAAACTCTTCATCTATGTATTGTTTAGAGTTGTTTGGTTCATTTTCTCTTTTCCTTTCATTAAGAAAAGAGGAAAAGTGTATATTATAGACAAATGATTTATTTCCTTAATATTTACTCTGTTTCATTCTTTGGTTCTCTTGTATCATTTCAAGTAAGTCTTTGTATCAAACATGTATGTAAACAATACCATCGTCCCTCCCTACCCGTTCCCCTCCCCCCATGTTTTAAACATTAAACTTATTTTTAAGAAGTTATTTGTTCAAATACATACATGGGAAAAAAATCTGAATTGTATTGTTTTTATTTTTTGTGTGCTAATTATTTAACTAATGTATTAAGTAATTTGAGGATTGCTGCAGTTTACATTTGTTAACATTGATTTGGTAGCAGCCATGCAAAAACAAAGAAATCTTACATATGATTGGTACAGTGCATTTAATTTACGAATGTGCTTAATCCAGCAAAATCTTTTGTGTTTCTTTGCAACAGAAAAGAAGAGGGGAAGGGGGGGTATCCACATACAGTTGTCATGTTCTCCATTTTATCAAATGAATGGGTACCCTACAGATAATGATAGTCAGGAACGGGGATTCCATTGCAACGAAGAGAGTAACTTTCTGCTTCAGGGCAAAGACAGTTTTTTTCTGCTGCAGTTTTTACTCTCTCATATCCTGACAGGAGAAGCTGACAAGTGCAGGTAAACAGTCTACCATTACCTACAAAGCCCATCTCGTTCCAACATGCCTTACTTAATTAGTTGCTGAACAAATGGAACTGCAGCTGTTAGCCAACACAGCAACCGCCTTTTAGGTCTAGAATCTGGTTTGGTTTTATTACCTATTTATTGTCTTCCCTGAAGGCACCGAGACATCCCGAGCTGCCCATTTCTGATCTCCCTGAAGAATCCTTCAGCTCAACCTGTTTATTGCCCACCTGTAGTGGGGTTTGAAGAGGTGAACAGGAGCTTTCAGGAACATATCTGAGGTCACCATTAAACCTAGTGTGCCTTATTCACTCCTCTGCAGGCTAGAATTTTAACTGTTGCTTGTGGCTTTATTAGGCTTACTTCTGCTTAACCTGTTTTTGCCCAGGATGTTTTCCACTTGGCAATACTAAATAATAATAAGCCATTATTATAATTGCTTTTCCTTGGATGCTCAGTGGCATGGAACAGGCATTTATCTTTAAGCCCCATAACTATGCTAAGCACAACTATGGAGTTATAAACTGCTATAAAGAAGACTGGAAGATACTTTTTGGTATTTTTCTTTCTCTTCTATTTTTGGCTTGGCAGTGATACATATAAAAGGATTCTGGGTGTCCTTATTGTTTACAAGGTGAACATGAGCCCACAGCTACATTAACCAGAGCATTAGAGTCCAGATCAAGTCGTGAGTTCTCCTTTGCTAAAGATGAAAATGAAGTTGGATGGGTAGTCTGTTAAATGCCACTGATGGTTCCACTAAGAACAGGGTTGCAGCAGATAACCTTCCTAAGATCCCTTCCTATTATGATTTCATGATTCCCTGATGTAGCTTCCTTCTCTGGGGAGAAAGGATATAGAGTGGAAATGACGTAAGCCGGTTGTGTGAACACAGTAGCGTCTCCATTTTGTTAATTTGATTACATGTTGTTATGGCATACTTAAAGTAAGAGAAGAGAAAATGGAGTATTTTGTTTGTTTTCCAGTCATTTAATTTCAGAAATGGGAAGATGGGTCCATCCTGAGGGTCAATTTATTAGGGGCTGTTATTGTGTAAACTTGAATAGAGGGGAGAGTTGGCTAGAGGAGAGGGGTAAGAAAACAATGAGGAGTATAAAACACAAGAATCACCTTGTGGGACCAGATCAGAATTCTTCATTCAGCATCCTAAATCCAATAAAGGCCGACCAGATGCTCCCAAGAAGCTCAGAAAAAGGGAATCAAAGCAATCACCTTTCCCTTTGTTGTCTTCCACGAAAAAGCATTCAGTGGCCTGCTGCTTCTCAATTTGGAAGTGTCAATTAACCTTCATGGCTAATAGAGTTTCATGCTCTAAATATTCTTATTTAGAGCATTCTGTTCCATTAGGTTCTTGGGTGTTCATGAAATAGGCAACTTAGATTGGAGCAGCCACAAAGGAGAACTCCCAAGATTATGGGTACAACGCAGAATGAAGAAATCTGCCGCGTGGGATGAGCTGTCATTTAAATTGCTGTTTCCCCAACCGACAGCTAGAAACGTCGAAATTAAGCTATAGGCATCACATATTTGAACATTTGAACAGAAAAAAAAATATTTATTAAATTTGCTTGCCATCCATCTCACCACAATACATGAACTGCACATTTGTACTGGAAAAAAATCATAATAAATTCAAGAACCAGATTGTCTGCTAATTTAGGCAAGTTGAAATTTTCTTGGGCATAAATAACACCTTTATCCATAAACCTGTTGTTACCATATCTGACATTTGGGGCAGTGTAACCTATTGCCTCCTGTATTGTGATTTACAACATTGATTTTGAAACAATTAGACTTCTTTTTCAGATCATACAAACTGTTCTGAAGTCTTGCTGTTTATTTGATCTCTCATTTACAACCGTGTCATATAGTTATATACATAGGCATAACTCAGAAGCTGGCTATGAACATATTTTATAACTGTAGTTATCTGCGTCAGAAAAGCATTACCCCCTGACACAAAGTAAACTTGCCTTTTGATTACTTTTAAAGTGCTCTCTGCTCCACCTTGTACCCTGGTGATAATCCATCTCTTGTGCGTTTAAGAAATTGTCATAAAGATTGAGTAGAGTAAAACCCTCGGTCTGGTTTTGTTTGGATTTTTTTTTTGAGGTGTAATTATTTCTCAGATGAGAAGCTGGAGAAATAATGACTCATGTCGACCTTTTGCAATTAAGAACAATTTCGTGAGATTATTCTAAGGCACGGACAGGTGTGGATAATCCTGTGCGGACATTTCATTTTGAGTTCAGTCTTGCATTTCCCTGTGCATCCCAATCTTTGTGGCTGGGCATCCATATTATAGGCAAGGCCAAGAGATTTGGCCGGGGGTTAGGGGGTGTTTGCAACAGCACATTTTTGTAGTCCGAGGGGGGGATCTGCCTCAGAAAGAGAGAGGCAAGGGCTCCCTGCCTCCCCCTGCCAGCAGACAGTTCCTTGAACGAAAAGCAGCGAGTTAGGAAGCTCCTTTGTGCAGATTCCTTCATCTCCTTCTGGCTGCCAGCTGGCTTTCATTCAACATTGTTTTCATCGCTGGAAAGAGCACAAGAGAGAGAGCATCTTAAAAAGGAGGCTACAAAAAGACATGGGAGTTGCTCGGGGGGAGAAAAAAAAGAAGAGAGAGAGAGAGAAGAAAGAAAGGTTCGACCTAAACAAAGCAGCTGGAGGGAGCTGGGCTCTGTAGTGTGAGGAGCTCAGAGTGCAGCAGCTTCCTCCTCTGCCAAGTGAGATGCATCCCCCTGAGTTTCTTTAGTCAGGGAAACAAAAAAAGGAGCCTGTGACGAGGTGGCGGATAGAGGAGAGCCGTGGGCTGGCTGCCAACCCCAGGATGACGGGAAGAGCGACCCTAGAATACAGCAGCAGCTGCTCAGGCTTCCACGGCCGTCTCCAGAAAAGGAGGCACATAAGAGGCTGGATGGGCTTAACGGAACGAGGTCCTGGGTTAAGTGGAATCACTCTGGGCCCTCCGAGGTAGGTTTGTTACAATGGTCGGAGGCAGACTCATCTCAAAAACTGCTTTGTTCTGCTCTGGTTGCTCTTACTTGTTTTTCCTGGGGATTGCCTGGAGCCAGAATGCACACAAGCTGGCTTGCTCTGGCCCTGGGAAAGAGAAGGCAACCATCCGAAATCCTGTGGGCCTTGGCCAAGCTCTGGAGCTGCGGTTGCCTGGTGCTGGAGATTTTCCACTGTTTCTGTTGTTCCTCAGCGATGGGCATTCCTGAAAGTTAATCAGGTTGAAAATTGCTGTGGGTAATGTCTGGAAGCAGCTCGAGTTCTGCAGGCTTGAATGTAGCTGGTAAGAGACGTTCTCTTTGTATGTAGCTGAAAGTGCTGGTGGGATCAATCCATCTCTCGGTGTCACATCGTTCCCAGTTGGCTTTTCTTTGCAAGCTCTTGCTTCTCCGCCAAAGGTCAGCAGCAATGCAGGCTGTCGTGATCAGCAAGAGAGCGGAAACTCTGCGAAAAGTCAGAATGAGTCTCTGTAAGCTCTGATAGAGGTGTCTTCGTAGAGGCTACAGTTTGGAAGTCAACTTTCAAGTTGCTCTTTAGTGACATGACTCTTTCTCAGAATGCAAATGCAGTCAGTGGTGGTTTCATGCAGCCTTTAATGGAATTAAATTATTTATGTCTGGCCCTGCATATATGTGTGGTTTTCCCAAGTGAGAAGCTGTCTCTCTCAGTATTTCTGTTCCAAGACCTCCCTTAGAATCCTGTTGGAAGACAGCCAGTTGTACAAGTGAATACATGCAGTTTCTGCTTTGCACAGGTAGAATTCTGCATGGCCAGAAGGAAATGGAGAATTCCAATGCTTGGACTGATCCTATCTGATCCCCGTAATTTCTTGGGGTTTGGATGCCTATTTCTGGTTTCTGTACTAGACATTCTGGAGGGGCAGCGTGCCACAAGCTGCAAGCTAAGGTACAGTTGGATAAATAGGATGTATCATTTCAGACATCTGGCTGAACCCACAGATTTTATTAGTTACATTTTCCAGCAATAATTTTAAACAAAACTAAATATTGGGACTTGCATACAAGCAGCAAAATTCTACTTTATTTCTGTTATTTTTATTTCTGTTGTTTTTTAATAGCACTTAGACTTAATATACCACTTTATAGTGCTTTACAACCCTCTCTAAGTGGTTTACAGAGTCAGCCTCTTGTCCCCAACAATCTGGGTCCTCATTTTACCCACCTCGGAAGGAGGGAAGGCTGAGTCAACCTTGAGCCTGGTGGGATTCGATCTGCCAAATTGCAGTAGGAATAGCTTGCAGTACTGCACTCTTAACCACTGCGCCACTGAGGCTCATTCATATGCTCCCAGATGAAAATGATCCATTGCATTTTACAGTAAAAATACAGTAAATTAAAAATACAGTAAAGTTTTCAGACATACATTCAATAAAACAAGCAATATTATTAATAAGATAATCTATATGATAACCAGGACACAACTCTAGAGTACATGGTAGCAAATTGCAGCTTGAAGGCTCTCTGGAAGAATTCCATGTCAGTTGCCTTCTGCAGTTATGCCAGTATAGCTGCCAACCTGATCTTTGAGAAACGGCTGTTCCAAGTGTAGGGGGCACCACAGCAAAGTACCCCTAGCCTCCCGTAACCCTTTTCCACTTAGGTTATGGTGAGCACTCCAGTCAAGAACAAGTGTCCAGGACAGGCATTTCTAATTGGACGAGAGTATCCTGAAGATACTTGGTTCATAAGACCTTGCAGGTTAAAACTAGCACTTATTGAAAGCCAATGTAACAACGCAACACTTGAAATGTGAGTATGATATGGTTGTAGCAGTCCCACCTGCTACTATATAGGCAACTGCATTTTGGACCAATTCCAATGTGTGAGTAGTCTTCAAAAGTAATCCCAGGTCATGCACACTGTAGTAATCTTAGTGATGTTGAGGACGTGGGTTACTTTAACAAGAGTTTAGGCAGAAATTATTCACACGCTCATACCTACACAGCCACACCCAAAGAAGCCTAGACAGGCATGGATCTAAGACACCAGAAGTGGAATTCATATTAAGAACCCTAATTCGTATCAGTATTAATACTCCACCCATTGTAGTAAGCATTTGGTGGCACTGATAGAGCTTTGATGCCACAGTAGTTAGAATGCAGTATTTGCAGACCGATTCTGTTGACTGCCACAAATTTGATTTTCACCAGGCTCAAGGGTGACTCGGACTTCCATCTTTCCAAGATCAGTAAAATGAGAACCCAGATTGTTGGAGGAATATGCTGACTCTGTAAATCGCTTACAGAGAGTTGTGAAGCGGTATATAAGTCTAAGTGCTATTGCTATTTGTCTTACAAGGCAAGACATAGTTTCTATAGGTAGCCTTTTTGTGCCATTCTGTGAACGCAGGAGGAACAATATAGAAATATTTTGTCTAGAACAGTTGATTTTGGAGGGAGAAGGAACATTTTGGAGAATCAGATTGTGTTGCTGTAGGTGAAACTATTTTGTAATTACTGTAGCTTGAGATGAGTTTGAATGTAGACTGCTTATTTAGTCTGTAGGTAGTAAATCCAAAGTTTTCACATACACCTTTCCAATTTTCTTAAAATGTGTGCTTCTGCTGAACTGATCAAACGATGACAGCCTAGTCTGCTTTATTAAGCATTCAGATACTGAATGCAGGTAATATTTATGACAGAAGCGCAATTGTGAGATATAAGAAAAAGCAACATCAGCTCATTTGTTTGCAGTGTGTTGTTTTCTGTGATGAGTGCAAAGATACGATTGCCATGGAGGAGGGTATTTACTTTTTAGTACTGACAGAGTTGGCTGGCTTAAAGATAGTTTACACTCCCTGTTTTTATTTGCCAGGTGTGCAGTATTCAGATCTGAGGCAGGAAAGGAATTCCAGATCCAGCAAGGGTGGATTTACTGTGCCTGCCAGCAGCTCCTTAAAATGGTGTTTTTTTTCCAGAACTTACACTGTAGCTAATGGTAAACATATTTTCCATGGACCATGTGTAAGTCTGGAAAAAAGTATGTCTTCTTTAAAGAACCTCTGGCAGATACAGTAAATACATCAACCACATCTGAAGCTCCTTTCCTGCTTTGGAGTTGAGCACTGCATGCCAGATTTCTGACCTGTTAACATAATCAGGACTGAAATGCAACTCTTCAGATTCTGTCATCTGCCATTTTTCAGTATGACAATTTAATTTTGTGTATTGCAACATTAGCTCCTTAAAAAGCACGATGCTTTATGTTTACAAGCAAACCAGTCTTGGGATCAAGGTAATTGTTGTGAGTTATAAAGACCTATTAAACCAAGGTGGTTTAATTATTAATAGTAACCACATTATTAACTTGGTTTAAGATAAGCCATGTATGCAGTCTCCTGGTACATTTATGAAGATGGATTTGGGCTATATTTAATACAGCAGTGCTTCTGAGCAGGCATCCTTCTACAAATCTTAATTCCCATAAGCCTTTTCAATTTGGCAGAAATGTCTGTAGAATGCTGTAATTTCTCTTCCAACCTCTTGAAAAACAGCAAAAAAAAATTTCAAAGAGTGTTAGTATGCACAGGTACCCGCTCTTCTGACTGTAGGACATGTTTCTTGTTCTATTAGTGCTTAAAGATGGGGCATGTTGATAATCCATTTTGTGGCTCTGCCCCCTCTCTAAAACTACGCCAAATAGGAAGAAGGTTGCTTCTGATCTCCTTAGAGGAATAAAGGCTTAGGGACAAGATGTGACAAGCCAATCAGCCAAAATATTTCAGGGAGACAAATAAGAATACTGTAAGGTATGCACTCTATCAAAAGGTGGGGTAGTGATAGGCTGCCGTTTTACAAAGCCATTCTGGATTCTGCAGCTGCTTATGCTTCTGCGTTGATCTACCGTAAAGGCAAAATCACTGCTGCGTTTTTTTAAAATTTCTTGCTCTAATACCAAATCTCGGCTCCCGAGGTTAAAAATCTCCATAATGACCTGTCAGAGACAGATTGTTAGCAGCCAAAATCGGAGAATCTGTGAGGGGAATGAATGGAAAATAGTGCAGCTACTGCAATCATATGAATTAACTGCTAATATTATATCTTGTTCCTTCCTCCTAATCTATTTTACCAACCTGCATCCTTGCGCTACTAAAACAGAATCCTTGTGCTTCGTGGAATTAAAAAAAATAAAATGAAAATACAGTATCCATCTCTGTAAAAAACAGTATTGCTGTTTTGTTCTCTTAAGTGTTCCCCATGTGTTATAAGTACAGCTCATCAGTATCTCCTTCTTATAATGGAACAGCAAAAGACAAAAATGCTTAAAGAAAGCCACAGATGGAGGGGCAGCCATGGGTTCATAGGTGCACCTGAGAATGCCCTTTGCTGGCATTTGGCTGACTGCAGGGAAAATGCTATTTCATGTGCTAATTACACCTTGTAAATATAATTGTCTTATCTTACGGAATGACTGGCTTTCCCCTCATTTATCCTCCAGGGTACAGTCTTCTCGAAGATTTATTTATTTACTATATCTGTATGTCACTTATTCCCAAAGGTGCGATGGTCACTGAATCATTACAGGCTAAGAATCATTACAGGCTAGTATATGGGAATCAACACCTAAGTATTAATCTGGCCTACAAATGCAGTTCTTCTGCATATAGCTCTCACTGTTCTAATTTATACTGTTCTTATGTTTATCAGACCGTTTACCTAGTTTGGACTTCTAATTTGTTTCTTGTCTATTACTATCACTTTCCAGTAAATTTAATATTTCTGGGTCTGTTACATTAAATTTACGATTTGTGGAGGAGAAATCATGTAGTTTTTCCTTTTCTCTGTAGATAATGTAGGATTTTGGAAGAAACAATTTTCAGGTGATGTGAAATACCTAGATAACATTGTCTCTTATTCAAGTCATTATGGCTCATGGTAATGGAATCTGGGGTGTGTATATCAGCTACATTGAGCAGGCAGCTATCAGGATATAAGGGGATATTGTTCTTTAAAAATAAGCATATTGACTGTGCTGGACCTAATTTGAATTATGCAAGATTGTCTCCATTCTTTTCTAGGTTGCTTTTATTCTTCAAAATGAAGCCTGGTACACTTCTGTTTTGTTTTGTTTTTAAAAAATTGAGCTTCATTCTATTATGCAGTAATATTGTGCCCAATTTTGGGGTGGGTGGGGGGGATGGAGTTGTAGCCTTTGAAAAGTGGTACCTTGGGAGAAATTTGTCCTTGTCCTTTGGATCCTGTATTCATTTTATGTGTACCGTGTAACTAGTGCAAAAAAAAGGTATGTAATCTAAGATATATAGGACAGATAGACTACAGTAGAAGAGCCAATTCTTTGCATGGAGAATATCTCATATTCATTCCCAGGCACCTAATAAAAAAAACCAAATAGTAAATGAAGGGAAGGTTAGAGACCGTAGAGAACAACTGCCTATTGTAATACACATACTGGTTAAATTTATAAAATTATTTGACTCGATGTAAGAGTAGAGTCTGTAATCCTATGAAAATAATTTAATGTGATTTGACTTTCAAATTTTTCTTTTAGCCTGAAATTAAAGCAGGAATGGCTGATGATATTACTCTGCCTGGGCATTTTACATCTGCATGTAAAATCCTTTCCCACATTTGTATGTTGTGTATGATTTTAAAACACACTTCCTAAAAAACAGCAATGTAACATATGTTGTCCCTGCTTTTCCTTTCAGCCATTATGTTATCACCTGGGTACTTCTTGATCACTGGAGGCTTGAGAACATAGCTGAAGCTGCTACTTCACACTCTGAGGCTGAAGGAGCAGACAAGAGGCTTGAACCTTGAGGTGGTGGTTAACTCTAAGATGTCCTTGAGCGGTGGAGCTACCGGAGGGAAAGGAGTGGATGCAAACCCAGTTGAGACATATGACAGTGGGGATGAATGGGACATTGGAGTAGGGAATCTCATCATTGACCTGGACGCGGATTTGGAGAAGGACCAACAGAAATTGGAAATGTCTGGTTCCAAGGAGGTGGGTCTGCCAGCCCCGAATGCTGTGGCGACGTTACCAGAGAACATCAAGTTTGTGACTCCAGTGCCAGGTCCACAGAACAAGGAAGGCAAATCCAAATCCAAACGGAGTAAGAGTAGCAAGGACAATGGCAAGGCTGCCTCAGGATCCTCCCTGTTTACGCCAAGTGAAGGGACTACTGGCAAGAAGGAGGTTCAGGGGCGCTCAGGGGATGGTGTGAACTCTGGGGGTTTGGTGACCACCATTGCCCCCAAGGGCTCTGAGAAATCAGCCAAGACTTCTCGTAGCGTGGCGAACTCCAAGAAGGAGAAGGAAGGTGGCTCTTCCAAGAGTAAGAAAGAAAGGAGTGAGGGTGTGGTTGCTCCAGCAGAAAAGGAGCCCACTGTACTCCAACCTCTTGCCTTGGCGGTCAGGGTTGGGCAGTACGATGGTGGCCAAGGATCTGATCCGACTGCTGCTGCTGCTGAGCAGCTTGGAGGTATAGCTATTGACACGGGATCTGCGCTCAATCCTTTGGGAGTTAAATCAGAACTGGAAGATGGGGACAGCGAGTGCCGACAGCTCAAAAAAGTCAAATCGGAGAAGGTAAGACACAGGTTGGTTTTCGGGGATTCCTTGGATGCTGCTTTTGCTTGAAACCAAGAGATTATTAATATCCACGGTGTTTTTCTTAACAACAGGTGGGATATGCTGTCCTGTAGCTTATACGACATGCTGTTTTGCGATGGCGAACCTATGGCATGCATGCCACAGGTGGCATGTAGAGCCATTTGCGCCGGCACACAAGCCGCAGGCAGACTTATCTCACTGCGCATGCACGCGCCTCCCAGCTGATTTTCGGCCCGTTTGATGCCTTTTTCAGCCCCCCAGAGGCTTGAGGAAAGCCTTTGCAGGCCGAAAAATAAGCCCGTTTCATCACTTCCTGTATTTCCGGAAATGATGAAACGCCCCGTTTTTCGGCCTGCAAAGCCTCCAGAGGCTTTCCTCAAACCTCTGGGAGGCCGAAAAAGGCCTCAAACAGGCCAAAAATCAGCTGGGAGGCTAAGTGCAGGTAAGAGGGATTGTGTGCGCAGGAGACTTGGGAGGGCGTGCATTGCCTTCTGGGTGATGGCATGCAAGGGCGTGCGCACAATTTTGGGGACAGGAGCCCAAAAAGTTTAGCCACCACTGCTACAGGGTGTCACTTGGTCTGAAACCTTGATAGTTAAGTGGATGTCATTCTTTACCCAGAAGAACTGGAAGGCTGATTTTTAATAGTTTTTAATCTGCTGATGTGAATGGTTGTTTCTGAAAGGCAATTGATGGAATGACGAAGGTGTAACTATTAATAGCTCTTTGTTGCTGCTAGACAACCTGGGAACTGCCTATCCTGTTCCTTATATTGTTTGCATGGAATTGCAGTGACTTTAGTGATACAGGCTTTATTCTGTAACTCAGCCTGTTCAGGCAAAGGCACATATCTGGAGAGGAAGGGAAGACTCACGACAGGGAGTCCTCAGTTAACAACGGTAATTGGGACCACAAGTTCAGTCAACAAACAAAGCAGTTGTAAAATGGGGCGTCTCGTGACCGCAGTGGCAACCCCAGCAATCCCTATTGCCACCATTGAGCAAGGATCATGAATTGTTTAGCAAGGAGCCCGTTACCATTTTTTGCCATTTCCCAACAATCCCAAGTCAGTGGAAAAGACAGGAGGAAAGTTGCGCGTCCCATGTAGCAGCCTAGCGTGTTGGTAAGTGGCGGCTCTCAGGTGGGGAGGTTGCATGGGTGGGAAGCGCAGTGTGAGGGGGGCCGGGGGGGGTTGCTGCTGGATGAGGAAGGCGTAACCACAATGACTTGCAACTTTCCCTGCCGGCTTCCCATTAATTCCGTCTGTGGAAAGCCAATAGGAAATGTTGCAAACGTTGACCCCCATGGCCGTGGGACACAGCAGCCGTTGAGAGCGCAAGCCAATTGCCAAGTGCACAGATTGCAGTCACGTGACAACGGGGGTGCTGGACGGCCGGAATTTAGAGGACCGATCATGACTTCCACTTCTTCAGCACCATCATAACGTCAAGCGATTGTCGAACGGGTGGTCATTAACTGAGGATTAGCTGTATCCCTAGGAAGAACAGAAGGAGTGAACGCACAAAGCCGCTTGGTTGCATCAAGAGATTTTAAAAGCAGACTGTGCAAGCTGTATAACTTGATATATTGTTTCTGCCACTGCTTCTCCCAGCACATCTATGAAGTGTCACCTGCCCGTACTGAATTATTTATAGCAACGTGCTGTTTTTGAGGAGGAAAGAGCATCTTCGTGGATTGTGCATAAGGCTTCCTTGACCTTTCAGGTGCTAGTCTAGGAAATGCTTGAAGCTAATGGCTCTCAGAGAATCAGATCTGTAGCCCAGCTGATAGCTTATTCCCTTCTTCCACCTAGATTCTGGAAATAGCAACACTTTGTGTATGTGTACATGTATGTATACTTTATGTGTGTATACATTGCCTTGGTTTTAGCTGTATCATTATTTTTATGTGGAAACATTGATGTGGAGAAACAGGAAAAAAAAATGCACATAGCTACTTACGTATCTCATAAAGGAAACAAAAATCTACCACTTGGGTTTACAGGGAATCAAGAGAAGTCAAATAGGATTGATGAATACTTGCTTCTCGACTATAGGGTAGCCATTCCCAGCCTGATGCCTTCCAGATGGCTGCTGAAGTGGGACTGAGCTCTTGCTTACACTGTAAAAAAAAGGGGGGGGAGGCGGGGAAACGCCTATTCAGTATCATTTTCTCCAGAGTGCTGTCAAGGTTCATCACTTTCCTATCATGGTTTTTATGGCAAGAGCTATTTGCAGAGGAAAAAGAAAACAGATTCTGGCTTAAGTGCTGTGGAAGCCTCTTGATAGTTAATAGCCGAAATCTGCATTTTCAGGACTCTTGTATAAGAAGGAAAGATTTGTCTCTCTATATAAAAGCGAAATATCACTCATGCATCATCACAAAATCTCCAGAACCGTAAAGCCTAACAAACTTGAAATTTGACACATATATTCCTCTTGGCTTCTAGGGGCTCTCTAAGAAAGGATTTTTCAAAATGATCATCAGAGCATTAGTATTTTGTAAATTATTATTAATATGCTCTGATGCTAAGGAGTTCTACTCCCCCTCCCCACCTGGAAAGAAATCTCTTCCAAATGCAAAACACAAGCCGAGGAGAGGAGTTTCAGTTTCAGTTTTAGTTTCACAGCACCAAGCAGCTTTAGTACAGAACAGTTGAGCTAAGCCACGCTCAGGCTCCTTGCTGTCTCCTTCTTGCTCACACAGCAAATACTGTCTCAGTTTCCAAACAGCCCTCAACTCTCTCACACACGGACAGGACGCTATCCAGATGAATACTGATGGATGCTGGTAGGCAGAGGCACAATTTTCCCCCCTTATTTTCATCCCCCAAAACTAAGCCCGATCACATAGTTTCGTAGCAAGCACGGGTATAGAGCTAGTATATTTTAATTTATTTCCCTTTCTATCATTGCGATGAGCTAGAATATACTTTGGTATACAATTAAAATAGCATATATTGGAGGGTTGGCAGATATTTTTTTTTTTTAAAAAGTGAATAGAGACATTTGTTCGCTACATGTTTATTGCCCTACTACTGAGCTAGTTTACTTGTTTCCTATTGAATATAAGTAATGGTTTGCATTTATATTGAAGCTTACTGTCATTACCTCTATAATGGTATAAAGAAAAAAGACTGGCTGTGTGATGCCTTTTCTCAAGCTAACAGATGTGTACAGAAAACTAGTGTGACAGTTCTGTAATATGTGGAATTTAGATTCCAGATTCTGAAACAAAATGGATTAGCCCTGTCAGATTGAACATAAAGCTGGTTCTGCTTTTTATAGTCACAAAAATGGCCTGTGGTAAACCTAATAGGGAAACATGGCTTATAAGTCTTGCTTGTTTTCTCCTTCTGTTATCTCCAGGCAGCACATCCAATGGGAGCTGTATTCCAACTTATTTGGAGGGGCAAGGATTTAACAAAAACTGTTTAGCTTGAATTTGGCAATCAGGCATAGCTTTATAAAATTGGAAGTAGCAACAGAGTCCATTTCAAGGCACCTTAGCAGAATCCTATCCATCAAATTTGGGCCTGAATAGAAAATGAAATAGTTGGGGAGAAAGTTTTCCAGAAGAGACTTTGCGTGCATCAGAAAAGATCCTGCTCATCCTTGTAAATCTCTCCCTCAGGCTGTTGTGTTAATTGGGAGATAGATCCGTGATGGCGAACCCATGGCATGTGTGCCACAGGTGGCATGCAGAGCCCCCCAGGCAAACTTACCTCACAATGCATGTGCACGCCTCCCAGCTGATTTTTTTTGCCTGTTTGAGGTCTTTTTCTGCCTCCCAGAAGCTCGAGGGAAGCCTCTGCAGTCTTTGGAGGCCGAAAAACAGGCCCGTTTCATCACTTCCTGTATTTCCGGAAATACTGGAAGTGATGAAACGGGCCCATTTTTCGGCCTCCAAAGACTGCAGCGGCTTCCCTCGAGCTTCTGGGAGGCCGAAAAAGACCTCAACAGGCTGAAAATCAGCTGGGAGGTGCAATGCAGGTAAGGGGGGGTGGGGCAATCATGCGTGCATGTGCAGGGGGCATGACCCCCCCATGCACATTGCCTTCTGTGTTCTGGCATGCGAGTGTGCATGCGCGAGCGTGCAATTTTTGGCACAGGAGCCCAATTTTTGGCACAGGAGCCACCACCGAGATAGATGTTTGTATAAAGTATAATGCCAATATTTGTGGGGGGGGTTTTCCTTTTTTGGGGGGGGTGACAAGATCTTTTGCCCGTGACCTTGGGAAAGAACTAAGTGGAAGATCAGGGGCCTGTTGTCTGAGCGTAATGCCACTTCACGTCCTTCTGCCAGCTCAGAGATTACGTGGCTGGCAGCTGGCAGTACTCTGGCTATGTACTGCTTTGTGCTGATAATAGCACAATAAATGGCAGTTTCTTGCTGTGGGGCAACAACTTCTGTAGTGCCTGTGAGAGTGGGAGGAACAATCTAGTGGACTGGCAGCTCCATCTGTTATCATTGTTCTCTGCTGTGACTGTCTGCTTTGACTTAGGATAAATGGAGAACAAGGAATGACCAGTAGACAGTACAGCTTCCCTTCCCCTTTGGTTCTGGTGCAGCTTTGTTTTAATTTAAGAGTGGTGGGGTGGGGTGGAGAGAAAGCATGCTCCTATGAGATATGGGGTGCTGACATGATGCTATTAAATGGAGGAAGATAGGATTTTAATAAGCTTCTTGTAGAGGTATGTATAGGCAGATAGTTTTGCACACGTAGTATTCTGAATGCGTTCTTTATCATTGTCAAGGACTAGGAGACTCCATTACTCTCCGACTAAAAAACATAGTTGGGGAGAGGCACCAATTGCAATTTATAAATCAAAGCATTTGTCAGTAATTATTCATGGGCCCAGTTGAAATTATCATGGCTCTTAAACTTGGGGAGGAAACCCTCCCTTCTTTGTGGCAGAAACAAAATGAAAATGTGTAGTGTCACTTTGTACCTCAACTATTTGCATATTTTGTAG